TTCAGTACTTTTAAAAACGGTCTAAATGACCACTACCCAGTACCCTACAAATAATTCATCAATAAAGAAGTTGACAAAGAAGGGAATCAAAGAGGTCCAAATTTTAAGGAATAAAGTGTTTCCATAGAACTGATTGAAGTTAAAAATTCAATACCACATTGTTCACAAGTCGCACATCCTAATGATATAACCATATTTGGTTGAGTTAGCTGAGCAGTTGCAGTGACTAAAAGTATAACCAGGTTTTAGCTGCAACTTTGCTTAAACCGAGAAGGCAGGGATGGAAGGTTTGGTTTTAGCTGGAACATGGCGCTAAATAAGCCTTGCTGTCAAAGAGGAGAAATAACAGGATTTACCATATGTATTTTGAAAACAATCCCCAACAACAAAAAAATTCCCAAGTAAATCAATAAATATGCATTTGTCAAGTTTTCAAACTCCAGCTCTTTTCCCTTGTGAGGCAATAAACTTGACTTGGTAAAAAAGTTATCACAAAACAAGATTATTGCAAACTCACTTTAAAACAAAAACACTATATTACTAGAGTACTAGGTACGAAGTAAAGCACTGAGACCATTAATCTCAATAGTGCAATATGATCTAAGCTTGTTTACAATTAAAATTAAAACAATTTTAAAAAATATATATATATCAAGCCATTCTTACCTGACATCACTGTATAGAGTTGTGAATAGGTTTACTATGGTTTGGAAACATGCATATCAATTCCATGCTGTAGTTCTTACATTCGGGTACAAACTTTACAATGTAAAAGTGATTGAGTAAATAAATATCTTGGGTTTACATAGTTTAGGGAGGCTCAATTCATCTCAATGCCAACGGAATATCATATTGAATTACTGATACCTTCACATGATTTATCTTAATTTAACTCTGACTTAACCTTGTTATGCACAACACATCTTACAATCTGTAGGATGATAGAATATTTAGTTAAAATAAGAAGGTTTCAAGAATTTTATTTGGTGATAAAGATTTTTATAAAATAATTGCCTAGCTCAGCTGGAATGAAGGAAGAAAGAAACTCGGTAAAGGGTGGGCCATTGTGGGGGGGCTGGGTAAGGAAAATGGGGGCTGATCAGGGAGAGAAAATCCAGAGGGGTGAGAATGCTCGGGACCTTTCTTTTCCTCGACAAAAGAGCTAACTAAAAAATATCAACACTCTCAACCACTACTTTCTTCCATTAAACTCTAATGACTCCCCTACTTAGAGATGGCTGGCGTCAACCCATGGGATTTGAATAACTCAATACCATGTAAATCCTGAAAAACTTCTAGAACATAAAAGAGCATGACATGCTATCGATGAAAAATAGTCTTTTTCCATGTTATGCATCACACCATATACATTTAACAGTGTCACTGCAGTCATGTTAATTCAACTTTTCATCCTTCACACTGCCATTTTTTCAAAAAAAAAAAAAAAAAATAGAAAACTCTTTAACATTTTGTATGAAAAAAAATCAATCAGAATACAATGGTGGCAGAAACAAAACTAAGAAGAAACCAAAATATACCTATTCTCAGAGGCCTTTATGAATGCCACCGGAGCTAATCTAATTTCTGATCATGGTAAAGGATGTGATAATACATGACGGTACAATCACACCTTTCTAACCAAGGAATACCTGATATCTAATCCAGAAATTTAATACTAATTTGTAAAGTGGTTAACCGATAAAGTAGAAAAATATGATGTTATAAACTATAAGAGCCAGGAAAGCAATATTTATTTCATTCAAAACTAGGAAGTACGAACTAAAAGTTAATCCAATAACATAGGGTAACCAAACAGCTCTGGGCCTTCACCAGAAGTAGGAAGACCCATATGACAACTTGGTTAAATCTGATGAAGAAAATATGATGTTTTAGTCTAAATCAAATACCATTGTATACAGCTAATGATGAACAGACTAATAACATTTGATAGTCCAAAATACACTAAAGGAATACAAAAAAAGGTTTGGTTTCCATGTAATATCTTGGAGAGACTATGCAACTTCCAGAAATACGCAACAGGCTTCTACTAGGCCACAGAAGTTGGATCTTTACCACCAAATAACTGACTAGTTCCAATAATAGTTTACGATAATAAAATTGATACCAACAACCTACCAGTACAAATTTAATACACGACAGTTCTGGAGCTAGCACAATTCAAGAAATATAAAATCCTAGAGTAGAAGAGAACGGAAACAAAATCCACGCCGGAAGAAAACGGAAGAGCATGGTAAAAATCAGGCTCGGAAAGCTTAAAAGACCCAAAAGAAACTCGTATGTACCAATAAGATTACTTTGGATACAAGCAATCAACTTCTTCTGGTCCCGGCACTTATTGTTGTCAGGTACCCCATCACAAGTTTCATGCTTACTTGATAGAGCACTGGCTTCAGTCCCTTTCTCCTTTTTTGTGTCAAAAGGTTTACCACTCCCTGTCTCGCTTACTGTAGATGAACTACCGGAACTTGAATTATTTACATTCGATTCCAGACTGGACGATGAGTTGTTGGGCGCAGGCGGGGGTGGTTCAACTTGCTTCTTCTTTCCGATAACGGGTGCAGAATCCGAGATGTTCACAGAAGAAATCGGACTGATGAGTGGGGAACCCTAAAAAGGCGAAAACGAAAAGTTCATAAATTAGTACAGAAAGATAGCATTCTTTCATTCATTCTTTTTCTTTTTTCAAGAAAGTAGAGGATTACTTGCGACGTTCGCGTGGAGTTATTGTTTGAAGCCGGCTCCAACAACTTTCTTGAGTCCCAAAGAGAGGCATTGGTTACCTCCGAAACAACTGCATAACATAGAAACAAAGCCAGAAAGCAATCTCTGCGCATCGCCATTGAATTCCACTTCTTTCCGACCCAAAATTCAGGATAATTCTCTAGGCTACGGGATTGTAAATGCAAGAAACTACTCTCTTGAATTTCATTCTCCGAGAATTGAACTTTGGGTCGCACAAAGCAAAATCAAAATAAACCACAAATTCCCTCCAGCTTAGAAACACAGCCAGGAAAGACCATTGTAAAAAAGAATTGCAAGAGAGTGTAAAATGATTTTGAGGGGAAATTTCAGGAGCTCCAAATTCCGAGATTTCTTCGTATTCAGGATTTTCAAGCTGATGGCTGGTGACGCAAATTGTGCAGAGAGAATTTCATGGATGGTTGGAGGTCGAAGATGGTGGAAATGGAACTCGGATGAAATTTGTGTCGGGCCGTCTCTTCTGAACCTTATGGGCCTACGAGAAGGCTTTGGATTTTAAAATAAGGCTCAAGAAAAACATTAACAGAAGGGCCTACGAGAAGGCTCTCGACTTTAAAATAAAGCCCAATAAAAGCTTTAACAGATGGGCCTAATCATATGGGCCTACAAGCCCAAGAAAACAAGTAGGCTCGCACTTCACAATAAGACCCAAGAAAGACATTAACAAATGGGTCTATGATAAGGCTTTCGACTTCAAAATAAGGCCCAAGAAAATCATTAACAGATCCATGAGCAGCTAAACCATTTTCATTACAGACAACCTGTTTTCATATCCATTTTATTCAAATAGTCATTTTCATGTAAGTATGAAAAAAAAAATTATAGATATTTATTTTCAGAAATATATAAAAAAAAAAAAAAAAAAAAAAAAAAAAAAAAAAAAAAAAAAAAAAAAAAAAAAA